GTGCTATGTTGTCTTGTGAATTGTGATGTGATTATATTTATAGGTTTTATTTTTTATTTTTTTCTTATCTTAAATATATTAAATATTAATTAAAATTAATAAAATATAAAAAATAATTAAAAGATAAAAATAAAATGTCTTAATATTTAAAAATTTAAAATTGTCAATAAAAGTATTTAAATATTTAAATATTTTTTTATAAAATTTATTAAAAGTATTTAAATTTTTTATTTTTTAAAAAAATTTAATTAATAAAACACCCTAATTTTTCTTTATACTTAATAAAAAATTATAAACTTATATTTTTAAATAAATGATCATATGAAAAAATTTTGTGTAAACTTGGAGAGCAGGAACTTTCTTTTCGGGATTCGAGCAGGGGACCAAAATCCAACTTTTCACCAAGTCCTTGATGAGTTTTCAGAAATTTGGGATTCCAGGTAACAAAATACTGACAAAACTTGACTGGTTTAGCATAATCAAGGAGGAATCTCCAGATTCCCCATCAACCAAATGCTGAAAGGATTTTGAAGCATTATGTGGTTGAAGGAGGTTCCCAGCTCACATTTACCAATCAAATTATATTCTAATAATTACCTTTATTAAATGAGGAATTAGGGGGTGGTTTAGCTGCTACAAAATGGCATTAAAGAATTAAAGAAAAATGACGAAGTGGGTTTGGGTATCTTGTGGTGGAGCATTTGAGAAAAGGGTGATTTTCTTGTGGCAGATGGCTCTTGAAAATCCTGTCAACAACAACTCTTGAGATAATATTATGGGTCTAACCCTCATCTCGAGATTCTGCAGACAATTGGGACAACGGCCAATTATATAGTTACAATAACATATAAATATATTATTAAATAATTAAACATATAATAATATTATTAAATTTTTAAATAAACAATTAATTATATAATAATATATTAAAATTGTAACTTTACAAAAAGAAGTTTTTTTGAAAGGATACCAAGAAAGTCCCCCAACAAGTATCCTACTGGTGGTCTTCTTACTTATATGATATAGTAATTAAGAAATATATATATCAATTCTAACTTATAAAAAACCTAAAATTTTAATTTTAAATCATATTATTTTATTTTATT